AAAGGGAAAATTGAGACTTCATTAATTAGCAGGAATAGACCCAGCAAAAATTAACTAGTGATGAAATTGACAAATTATGGGCAGAACGTGAACCTTGGCAAAGAGTTTGCAGTAATTTTCTGGGAGAGATTAAGAACAAATATCTCAAAAGTGATAGAATTAAACATATAAAGAGAGCTAACTGGATCCTGCCTCACATTGTATGGGAAACACCAATATCTGGAGGCCCTACATTTTATACAGACAAAAAAAAAAAAAAAAAAAAAAAAAAAAAAAAAAAACAAGGAAAGGGAGGTTACAAATCAGAATTCAGAATTTAAGTAAAGTGGTTCAAAGTCCTTATAATTCAGTTCAAAAATCAAAATTATATGCTATTCTGATGGTATTAATGGAGTTTTTGAAACCTCTCACCATAGTTACTGACTCTCAGTATGCTGAAAGAGTGGTCTTACATACTGAAACAGCGGAATTTATCCCTCATGAGTCAGAATTAACTTCATTATTTATTCAGTTACAAGATACAATCAGGAATAGGAATCATCTCTTATATATAACTCACATCCAATCCCATTCAGGTCTGCTAGGACCTCTAACACAAGAAATGATGAGATCGATCAACTATTGATCGATCAACTATTGATAGGAAATGTGCTGGAGGTCTCAGAATTTCATAAAAAACATGTCAATAGTAAAGGTTTAAAAAAGGATTTTTCCATAATCTGGCAACAAGCAAAGGAAATTATAAGGAAATGTCCCACTTGTTCTTTTTATAATCAAACTCCACTACTAGCAGAATGTAACCCAAAGGGTACTCAGAGGAATGAAATCTGGCAGATGGATGTGGTTCATTTTGTAAAATTTGGAAAACTGAGCCGGGCGGTGGTGGTGCACGCCTTTAATCCCAGCACTCGGGAGGCAGAGCCAGGCGGATCTCTGTGAGTTCGAGGCCAGCCTGGTCTCCAAAGCGAGTTCCAGGGGCGCAAAGCTACACAGAGAAACCCTGTCTCGAAAAACCAAAAAAAAAAAAAAAAAATTTGGAAAACTGAAATATGTACACCATACATTGATACCTACTCAGGATTTCAATGGGCAACTGCTCTGAGTTCTGAAAAGGCTGATTCTGTAATAACACATTTGCTAGAAGTTATGGCCATCATGGGTATACCTGTACAAATTAAAACTGACAATGCTCCAGCATATTTCTCTGCTAAAATGAAACAGTTTTTTGCTTATTACAGGTATACCACACAATCCTACGGGCCAAGCAGTCATAGAGAGATCAAATCAAACTCTGAAGGACATGCTAAATAAACAGAAAGGGGTAGCAACAACTCCCAGAAATAGATTACATAATGCTCTATTAACTTTGAATTTTCTCAATGCTAATGAGAAAGGAACAACAGCTGTGGAGAGACACTGGTTAATAGAAAGAAAAAAAAAACAAACTACAGAATCAAATGAGCCTGAATACTTTAAGGATGTGCTAACCTCAGAATGGAAACCAGGATTTTGGGGATGAGGTTTTGCTTTTGTTTCTATAGAAGAAAAAAAAAAAGCTATAGATACCATCAAAATTGGTAAAGGTTCGATTTCAACGTGAGACCTCTCAATTAGAAGAGGTGATAGTTCATTAACTAGCATGACCATTCAATTTAAATTAACTTATACAACTAACAACAAATGCATTTCATTTAATCAGCTATAACTTGCCAAAAGGGAACCTCCCCAAAGTTAGGCTTGGGGAAGGGTTTCTGTTTTTGTCTTTCAGGAGAATGAAGGCTAAGGAATCTGAAGAACACTGGACAAATGAGACATCAGAAGAAAAATAAATCATCCAGAAAAGAATGTCCCAGAAAAAAAGAGTAAATTAGCCTATTGGTATATCATATATAAAATTTCGTAAGTCTCCTAAATGTTTGTTTCTGCTCTTCTCTACAGACCCTTAACACAAATGGTCTTTTTGTAGTCCCAGTTCAATTAAAAGGTAAAGCTGGCTTTGGAGTTGGAGGCTCTCTCCTTCTCTAAATCCAAGCATGCTTGTTAAAAGAAAATGCAAAATCTCTATTATCATGTCAGAAGAGCCATCTGATATAAGACAGAAGAAAACCAAAACTAAGGGACTATTCTATTGCCACTAATCTCATAATTCTTTGGTTTTGACTCTTTAAAACTTTTTTTAAGGTATTAATTTTATATCAAAACTTACAAGGTTAATATATATATGTATATATTAAACTTGTGTCATGATATTAATGGTCATATAGAATACTAACATTCTAGAAAAAAAGGTTTCATCTAGCTACCTGTACATATTTTCGTGTTTGAGTTTCTATCAGTTTTCTGCAGGGAATCATGACCATGCCTAACAGCAAATTTGAAGTCTCCATAATTGTCATTGTTTAGGATGGTTGGTTACAAGTTGTTATTGTTAATGGTCAGGATAAAGGCTAAACAAAGGAAATTAGATTTAAGGTTCTTGTTTGGGGAAAAAAGGAGGATATAGATAAGAGGTAAATTATTCAATCTACTCTGAAAAGAAAAAGAGAGAATATGGATATATGATGAGATAAAAAGGTAGATTATTGAATCTACTTTTAAAAGCAATATTTTAATTTTAAATATTTTACATTGGATTGGATTTTTGTATATTGTATACAAATTATGTATGTTGATACAAATTTGAGATTGATTTTGCTAGAAAATACTATACATATATTTCTAATTTTGTTCAAGGTATTGTACCATACAGTTCATTTAACAATGTAATGCAAATTGCTAATCCTTGAAAGTTATTATTACCAATAATTAGGATATAAAGAAATGAAAGTAGTTACTCATTACAATCGAACTTGTAGTCATATTAGGTATGTTTTCAAGGTCAAACAGAGATTTATTTTAGATAGACAGGTCATCTTCAAACCCTTCAGAGATCTATAGAATACGGCATTTAAGATGTTTTAATAACATAGATCTTTTCTTTTTTATGACTATGAGACATGTCTGCTCCTGGCAGCACCAATCTACTTCAGAGAAGATGATGGGCACTGAAGAAACTCCATATGGAGTTTATTTTCATTGTGGTAAAAGTTAGTCACTGGGCAAGAAATTGCCCTTACATCGACTGCTGACAGTATGTTGTCCAGAATGGACAAGCAGGACACAAAAAGAAAGGACTGCCAATCCTTGCCAAGACAAGGTAGGATGGCTCTTTAGAAAATCCTGCTTCACAGATCAGTCTGTCAGATATGCTAGGCCTGTGGACCAAAGATGGGTGCCCCAACGTTGCAGAGAAACCTCAGGTGACTGTCCAGGCAGCCAGATGTTTGTCATAACTCACATTTTTTGGAAGTCATTTGTTTGCACTTCCTGTTTAACTAGGTAATATTATTTCCTTCTCGAGTCTCTAAGGGAGTTGAAGATTAGATAGTTGTAGTTACAGTTTTCCTTGTTAACAATGTCAGAAAAGAAACTAAGAGGTGTAAAATATATTTTATTTTGTTTGAAAGACATCAAAAGATAGTTTTTGGTTGTAAGACAAGTTAGGATAGAAAGTGAATTAGGTACATTTTGGACTTACCAAAATATGATAGATAATGGAATATTTTCTCTCAATTTGTCAAATGCAAATGGACTAGACATTGTTGATGTATTTATTGCCTGTATATATTGTATATAGTTATTGTATATAGTTTTTTTATATTAGTTATAATTTTTTTATTTTAGACAAAAAAAGGGGAAATGTGGTGATATTGTATTTGTGCACCCCAATAAAGCTTATCTGAGTATCACAGGAAAAAGCCAGCCACTATATTAAACATAGAAGTCAGGCAATGGTAGCAAACGCAATGGTAGCAAACGCTTTATGCCTTTAATCCTAGCATTCGGGAGGCAGAGATTCATCCGGATCTCTGTGAGTTCAAGGCCACACTGAGAACAGAGCCAGCCATGGTGGCACACGCCTTTATTTCCAGCACTAGTTAACCATAGAGGCCTGGAGGTCTATACAGACAGACAGGAAGTGATAGAGCTGGGCAGAAAGAGGAAGTGAGATGGCAGGGCACAGAAAGGATGTAGGCGTAAATATAGAGGAAGTAGCTCTCTCTGGAGGCTGAGGAGTTGGTAAGGTGAGCTTGGCTGTGGCTTGTCCTATTCCTTTGACCTCTCTACTTTCATCTGGCTCTGAGTTTTTTATTAATAAGACCATTTAGCAATTCATCTTACACTCCATTACTTAATAATATAAAAATTTTATAGTAGCATAATGAACAAATAAACCCGACTACTAGGTCAATAAACTTCATCGTTGTACTTGACACAAAGATGCCAATTCATATACAGGGTCCTGACTGCAACACTCATTAGCACATACTGCACCTTCCTTCAGTAGCCCATTCACTGTGAGTTCCTACTTTATTATGGTATCTGATAAGAACGTATTCTTGAAATGAATCTACAATTAGATAACCAACACTTGTTTTGTATTTACACTTTGATTTTCCCCAAGTGTTATTCTTTGTATTCTATTTTCATATTTCTATCACTCTTGAAATGATAATTAAAATTTATAATAATTTAAATAATTTACTTCTCTTCAAGTTTTTGATCACTGTCATTCTTAAGTCTGATTTAACACTAAGGAAAAGCATCATTTAAATAGGTTCACTCTATTCTTCTGTAATTCACTGCTACAAGATAACTCAAAAAGGGCAAGATACAGTTATACATCTTTCCTTAAAAGCCACCAGCCATCAAACTCTTGAACAAAAATATACTCTGTAGAAGACATAATCTAAAAAGGGGAGAGGGGTTGTTTACAGTCTGTGCTAAGATTTTACATTTATACATTAACAGCAATTTCTAATACTGAAATACTCATCTCACATCACATTTGAGACTCTGCATCTGTCTTAAAATTTAAACTTTCTAACATTTAAACATGTAAAATAAAATTTAAACAAAGACTGTAGAAACTAAGGTGCAAAAATTTCAGATAAGGATACAGCCATGTAACACTGGAAGAGCAAACCGATGGACCTAAAAGAAGATATACAATGTATTTAGAATCAGCACTCCTTAAATAATAAACCATGTAAGACATATTTACACACAGGCAGTAATATACAAATATAACCATACAGTGAGAGTTCATGTAAGTTCTAATGTTAGGGAAATGTCTATAATGTTGCAGGTAAAACGGCAGTGTAATCACTAGGGTTTAAATGGTCACAGATAAACACCAGTAAAACTACATGAAGCTGAATACTCCTTCTCAGTCTTTGCCTGTAACTCTTCTACTTCTAGAAAAGTTATAGGCTAATGATTTGCAATCTCAACTACCAAAAATAAATAAAATATTCTGCAAACAGCAAAAAACAAATCACTTCTACAGATCTAAGTGCTTTAGCTCACACCTCATTTATACAACACAGGATGAGGTTGGTGGTGAGTTAGGGGAGTTTCCACCTGGCCTGAAGACTGAGAACAAGAACTCTTGGACAGAAGCCACGTTTGCAGAGGTGACTAATTAGAACTGCAGCCCTGTGGAGAGACTGGAAATGTTGCAGGTCCAGAAGCTAGTTACCTTGTCTTAGGCTAGTCCTAGCCTCTAAAACAGCCATTCCTTCCCTAGCTCTGTGTCAGAACTGACATTCTGTGATTAATAGATTAAAAAAAAAAAAAAAAACCCTTTAGGAATCTATTCAATTAGCAGATCATTAGCTTCCATTAAACTTAAAAGCTAAGAATGTCATCAGATAGCATCCTGGGCCTATAGAAAATCTTCCTCCCCATCTTGCTATAACTGCCTCTTCGATGTACACACCAACGTATTTTAAACTTGCCTTGCTTTATGACTTTCATTGTTTTATAAAACTATAAAAATCTCAAATTTCTTCCACATTGAAACATGGAATTTGGAGTTAGCCTAAATCTGTGTTCCTAGGCCATGGTCATTCAAAATGGCTCTAGAATAAATCTTACTCCTTTTAAAATGAGAACTGTGGTTTTTGCACTAACAGGACTGAGCCCCTATCCCTTACTTCTACATTATTCATCAGTACAACTCATTCTAGCTGTCTTAGAGAAAGTTAATGTTTTTCATTTAAAGCTTCCCATTCATAAGTATTACAGTTTGTACCTTAAGTGTCCCTAAAAGCTTATGTTTTCAAAGGCTTGGGAACTGGCCAGAGAAGCTCTTGGACTTTAGAAGGTATAGCCTAGTAGAAAGAATGACAGTCATTAAAAACTAACCTTTATAAAGGCACTGTACACTAAGCCTATTTGCTTTTGTTGACTATCATCAAGTGAGCAATTTGCTCCATCAGTGTACTCCCTGGCATGTTCTCTTGACTAAAGACCCAAAGGCAAGGGAGTCATCAGACAGTGGAATGAAAATTCCGAAACCCCTAAGCCTAAACACTCTCTCCTAAGTTCTCTCAGACATTTTATCTCCATGTCAGGAAGTTAACACAATAGGAGATTAGATTTCTACATATATCAGTAAGAGAGGGCAAGAATGGGTGTGTGTGTGTGTGTGTGTGTGTGTGTGTGTGTGTGTGTGTGTGTGTGTGTGTGTTATAGTTAGAATTATTTACCCACTCCCTAATGAGTGGTTAGTCATTTTAACACAGTCAAACATGTATTATGACAAGAAAGCATATTCGAAATGGAGTACATTACCTCTGGCTGAGCAGACAGTTCTCTGAGCAGATGCCCGTTCCATACAAACCGCTGATCTGCCTGAGAGAAGTTTTGAAACTTAATGAAATATCTCCAGCCACAGTAAGTGTCCCCAAATGGAAAACTACACTCATCAATGCCTCCACCTGATGGCTAATATGAGTTTCTCTGACATGTCCCAACAGAATACACATCATTTCAAATCTGCTCCTCTTCTTCCCATTCCTGTCTGCCTTATCACACATAGAAACTCCAGGTATCCTCTCCCATTTTTCTAGGTAATCACTGGCCAAGAACTAAATCTCTTTCAGAGTCTACACTCATTTCTCCATCTCCACTACCACCACCAAGGACAACACCTGATCCAGTATAGCTATTGCACAGCTACTTGGCCTCCATCTTGCCCCCACTCCTGACTGGCCTACTCAAGGATAAAGGAATTCTACACATCCTTTCTGCTGTCTCCTCAGTTAGTTCTTCAGTGACTGCCATCTCAGAGCCAAATCTTTGCTTGGTCTCCCTGGAGATCTGACAGCTGCTATTTAAAGGTCTGACCTCCCCTCTGCCAGGCTGATAATCCATCACAAATACAGAGGAACCCGGGTTTCTTCAGCTCAGCACATGGGCTAAGTAGATAGCACAGCGCTGAGCCTTACTCTCTCCCTCCTCACACCTAAGGTCATAGGAAATGACCTATGGTGTCATGGCCAGGGGAATATCATATCTTTTAGTTTGTGTTTCCAAGTAGTTTGTGCTACTCATACTTAGGAGTTATCATTGCACAATGGGTTCGATTACATAACTAAATATTTTACAAGTCAGTGAAATGTAAATAATAATGTGCTATTTCTAAATGTTGAATTATTTGTAATACAACTTGATAAAAAGCATAGTGCTAAAACAAATTACCGTTGAATTACGAGTAGAAGCAGCAACTAAAAAAGGTTAGAGGAATAAAAAGCCACAGGATTCTGCCACATGGCTTTATAAGTGTCAAAGTCTTTAAAAAGCTGAAATGGAAACCTTTAAGAATAAAATAACAGCTGGAAAAATAGAATCAAGGAACCAAAACAAAAAAAAGTCCTTAATTCTATGCAAAAACACTGACCATTCAATGTTAGTTTTTTTGTCTTAAGATAAGGTTTCACCCCATTCAATGATCGAGGGAACTGGATGCAGAGATCCACGGCTAGGTCCCGGGTGGAGCTCCGGGAGTCCAATTAGCAAGAAAGAGGAGGGTTTATATGAGCAAGAATTGTTGAGATCAAGGTTGGATAAAGCACAGGGACAAATAGCCAAACAAATGGAAACACATGAACTATGAACCAATGGCTGAGGGGCCCCCAACTGGATCAGGCCCTCTGAATGGGTGAGATAGTCGATTGGCTTGATCTATTTGGGAGGCATCCAGGCAGTGGGACCGGGTCCTGTGCTCATTGCATGAGTTGGCTGTTTGAAACCTGGGGCTTATACAGGGTCGCTTGGCTCGGCCTGGGAGGAGGGGACTGGACCTGCCTGGACTGAGTCTACCAGGTTGATCTCAGTCCTCGGGGGAGGCTTTGCCCTGGATGAGGTGGGAATAGGGAGTAGGCTGGGGGAAGGGGAGGGGGGCAGGAGGGGGGAAAACAAAGGAATCCGTGGCTGATATGTAGAACTGAATTGTATTGTAAAATAAAATAAAATTAAATTAAAAAAAAGATAAGGTTTCATTAATCAATTTTATGAGTCTCTGTGACATTTTTATTTAGCTTAAAAAAAATTCCCTAGCTGGGCACAGCAGTGCACACTTTTAATCTCAGTACGCATGAAGCAGAGGCAAGCAGATCTCTCTGTGAGTTCAAGGTCAGCCTCATCAACATAGTGAGTTCCAGGACAGCCAGAGTTACATAGTGAGATCCTATCTCAAAAGAAAAACAAAAATATTAAAAAAAAAAAAAATTCCCTTTCTGTTACAGAAGAGATAGCTTCTGGCTTCTACAACTTCTCTTCCCACTCCTTTGCCAAAAGCCTCCCTCTCCCATTATCACCTAACTGATAAGCCTCAGCTCCAAAGCAACCTTCCTCAGTATAGCTGTCCCTGGCATTCCCAGGAGAATTACTCTCCTTTCTATAGGATCCCACTAAATTTTGACCCCTCTCTCCAGTGGGAGTCACCTCTGCTTGTGAATGCTTGTACTATTACCTCTCTAAGTATACTGAAGGCTCTTCTCATAGCACAGGGGCTTCGGGTTTTCATTTTAAGTCCCCACTAAGTATTACATGCCTGGCATACAACAGGCACAGGAGAGAAGTTTGATGAACATGTAAGAAGTACAGCAATTGGTTTTAAAAGCATCAGTCTCTTGTTTTAAAGCTAAATGTCTTGATTACTTAGCTTATCTGTAAATTAACATACAATTTTACTTGATTAGAATGCAAAATCTTAACTCCAAATAGCTAAATAACTAAAATACTAAATTAGTGAAATTTATCATTTTCACTAGTCAAAATGGTCTATTACTGGCAATGTCATACAGATAGCAACCTTTAAAATTCTGCATGCCCTTTAAACATGTCCATGCTTTATTAATTAAAGAAGAAAAATAATAAAGGCAGGAATAGAGGGCATGGCTCAGTGGTAGAATGCTTCTTAGTATGCATGAAGTACTTGGTTTAAGCTCTAGCACCACACACACAAAATAAAATAAAAACAGATAAATAAAACCAAGGCAGCAAAAAGCCATGTCCTAGAGTAGCAGAAACCCAGCTGAGGACATTTAAAACCTAGTATTAAAAGTACACTCATATTAGGCCTGTGGCACAGGCCTTATAATCCCATCAGAAGGCTGAGGCAAAGGATCCAAGGCCTTTTTGGGCTACACAGTGAGTTCAAGGCCATCCTGGGAAATTCAGTGAGATCCTGGTGTGAGAGCAGGACAGCCAGAGCGAGAATGAGAGTGAGAGCATGCCTCTACCTTCATAACTGGCTCAGATTCTTAAATCAACAAATTGCACTCGGGAGGCAGAGGCAGGCGGATCTCTGTGAGTTCGAGGCCAGCCTGGACTACCAAGTGAGTTCCAGGAAAGGCGCAAAGCTACACAGTGAAACCCTGCCTCGAAAAAACCAAAAAAAAAAAAAAAAGAAAGAAAAAAAAAATCAACAAATTGCTGTCTCTTCTACTTAGAAAACAACATCACAAATGACTGGTCATTACCTATTAGAACACTGACTTTTTTTTTAATAAGCTTAATTATGTTGCTAATAGTGCTGAACTAAGCAATGAAATCATAAACTAATACAATACAAAGCTAGTTTGAAGACTTGTTCCCCAAGTTTACAGTTAATAGCCTGGAATATTTATGCAAAATTACAAACTCAGGTTGGGATGTAATTCAGTGGTAGAGTGCTTGCCTACTACAAGCAAAGCCCTAGGTTCAAACTCTATCACTGTATTATGAGTACATGTACACACACATTCTGAAAGGTTTTCATCTAATCACCTGTGTGAGTTTCTACTAGATATTTGAGTATCTACCCCAATTTATCTCAATCTTGGCTGTGTATATACACAAGGCAGGGCCCTCAGTGAGGCCTATGATAGACATTTAAAACATGGTATGTGTTCAAAGCCTCACATATGACTCTAATACAGTCAAGAGTATGATAAATCAAAACAGGACTGGAGATATGGTTCAATAGGAGGATGCTTCCCTAGCACACGAGGCCCTGAGTTTAACTCCAGGGCTGGAGAGTGGGGGGGTAGGGAAAAAAATTTTTTTTATAGGTTAAAGAGACATGCCTCTTTTAAAAACAACTAAAAATAAATTAAGCTACCTGAAGATCCAGCTTACCCTTTCCAAGAGACTCATTTCTTGAAATTCTGGACTTGTGTTAGACAGCCGTTGCAAAGTATGGGTCAAGTCATATGTTGTTGAAAAGTAAAATCCATCCATACTCAACACATGGTTTAGCATTGCTAGGAAAGTTTTATTATCTTGTAACTGCAAAGAAGAAAAGGGAGAGTTCAATACTAGTCACAGTTGAAAAGAAAAAATGTCAGCATGAGAGGACAGCAAAATTAAAAACATTTATGTTAGTTCCATTAAGTATCACTGACACAGCTGGCCAGAGATGGGGAATACTCTATATAAACAGTGTAGGCATTAAACTCACTTGATTTAGGTACAGCTTCCTTCCTCCCTTTGGTATCATCCACAACTATCACTCTAAAGCAGAAGAGTTAGGTTTTTGTTTTTGAGACAGGGTTTCTCTGTGCATCCTTGGCTATCCTGGAACTAACGCTGTAGACCAGGCTGGCCTCGAACTCACAGAGATCCTTCTCCCTCTGCCTCCTCAGTGCTGGGATTAAAGGTGTGCACCACCCCCTGGCCAGAAGAGTTGTTTAAAAAAACACCACCACCTTAGGTTACAGCACAACCTGTAGTGTGCCAATACTTCCCAGATTCTCTCTGTCCTTTACTACCGTGCTTGGGTTTACTATCATTATCCTCATTAGCAAATCAAACACACAAATCAAGAGATTAGCATTATCCTCACTTTCAGAAAATTTCACTGGTTTGGACTGGATAGGAAATAAAGAATCATTTTTCATTAAAACAAAACCAGAAAGCCTAGTAAAAGTATTTCCTTTCTTTTAGAATAATAATTTTATCTGGCTTTCCCAGTTAAAAACAATATTGACATTAAAAAAAATTTGTTCCAAAAAACTGTCAAGGTTTGATGATGTTTAGTAGTTATTAAATGATTAACATGTAAACTTATACATTACAAATGTATATACTATACATTTTTTAATTTAAGCACAGACTAGCAAAAGCAAAAAAAAAAATGTAGTAAACAGCACAAAATGAGCTTTATGGCTTGATGACAAATCCAAGAAAATATTCCTGAAAATGAATATAGCTACTTTTATTTCATGTGTGTATGTATATATGTGTTGGATGTACATGGCATTGCATGTGTGTGTGAGGGTGAGTATGGAAGCCAGAGAATGACCCTAGGTGTTACTATTACTCAGGACACCATCTACCTTTTTTATAACTTTTATTTATGTGTATGAGTGCTTTGCCTATATATGTATGTGCACCACATGTGAGTCTAGTGCCAGAAACAGGCATCAGATCCCCTGGAACTGAAGTTACAGATGGTTGTAAGCCACCTTCTGTAAGAGCCACAAGTGTTCTTAACCACTGAGACAGCTCTCTAGATCTATCATCTGTCTTTGTTGAGTCAAGATTTCTCAGAATCCTGGAACTCGTAGACTAGTAGAGACTGGCTGGTCAGCAAGGCCTAGGCATTCAACTGTGTCTATCTCCCTATCATCACTGGAATTACAAGTGTAACCATGTCTGGATTTTTATTGGAGTTCTAAGGTTCAACTCAAGGGCCTCATGTTGGCAAGGCAAATGCTTTAAAGACTGAGCTCAAAGCTTCATTTTTGTTTAAAATATCATTTCTCATGGAGAATGAATATACTAATACATTAGGAAAAGGGAAATTCAAAAGTATAAAAAGCATATATTACAGCTTTACTTGATAAAACAGTGTTACAATTTGACATTTTTACAGGTAAGGTATATGTTTTGGAAAAACAAGTCTTGTAGAAACAAAGAAAGAAAGCATGATCCTCCCTGAAGATAAAATGATTGCTGGGAGTGGGAGAGATATTTTCTAGTAAGCTGCCTATGTTCCTATATAAGTAACCCTAACTAAACACATTGGTTCACACACACAAAGAAATCAAAACCCTTAAAAAAAATAATCTTGGGAGCCAAGAACAGTGGTACATGCCTTTAATCCTAGCACTCAGAAGGCAGAGCAAGTTGTATCTCTATGAGTTCCAGGCCTGCCAGGGATACATGGTAAGGCTCAATGTGGTTGATATATTGTGTACCCCAATAAACTTATCTGGGGGTCAGAGAACGAAACAACCATAATATTAAACATAGAGGTTAGGCAGTGGTAGCACATGCCTTTAATCCTAGCATTCCAGAGGCAGAGATCCATTTGGATCTCTGTGAGTTCAAAGCCACACTGGAAACAGCCAGGCATGGTGACTCATGCCTTTAATCCCAGAAAGTGATGACAAAAAGGTATATAAGACGTGAGGACCAGGAACTAGAGCTGGTTAAGCTTTTAGGCTTTTGAGCAGCACAGTTCAGCTGAGAGGCATCCAGTCTGAGGAAACAGGATCAGCTGAGGAATTGGCGAGGTAAGGTGGCTGTGGCCTGTTCTGCTTCTCTGACCTTCCAGCTTTAATCCAATACCTGGCTCCGGGTTTGATTTTACTAATATGACCTTTTAAGATTCGTGCTACAGCTCCATCTCAACAGAATAACAAAACAACAACAAAAAACAAAACAAGCAAACAAAAACTCAGGTGTAAAACACTTTTAAAGGCATGTCTTTAATCCCAGCACTCAGAAGGCAGAGGCAGGTGGATCTTTGTGAGGTTGAGGCAGACTGGTCTACACAGTGAGTTCCAGGATAGCCAGAGCTACATAGTAAGGTAGGGTGTGTGTGTGTGTGGGGGGGGGGGGTGCATTTAAAAAAACAAAAACAAAAAAAACTTGTTAATTACTTTGGAAACAAGCATTCTGGAGAGGTGTAACTTTATACACCCAATAATCACTTCTAGAAAAAAAGTAAGTTCCAAAATCTGAAAGGGGGATTGGTAGATTGCTCAGTGGGTTACAAGGCTTGTCATGCAAGTATGAGAACCTGAGTTCAGATTCCTAAAACCAACCTAAGCCTGGTTACAGTGATGTCATCCATAATCCCAGTGCTCCTACAGTAAGGTGGGAGGTGGAAACAGAAGAATACCTGGAAGCTCATGGATGAGTGTATGTGGAGACAAACAACTAGGAATCTGTCTCAAACAAAGTAGAAGGTGACGACCAATGCCTAAAATTGTCCTCTGACCACATGTGCACCATGCACATACCCACCAGTCTAAATACTCACACACAAACACATACATACATGCACACACAAAGATTTACAAATCAGAATAAGGCAATGCAACCTGTGAAAGTGTCAACATATTTCAAGCAAAAAATACCTTTGGAAAGTAAGTATTGTTCATCTTCACTTTGTACAGTGTAAAAAAAATGACCATTTTGTCTTAAACCTTAATAACAGAAACTAATTTATATAAGTCACTTGAAAAATTGATTGTTCTATAACCTTTAACGATTTTGTGAAAATATAATGTTCTTGGGGCTAAAGAGTTGGCTCAGTGGTTAAGAGCACTGGCTGCTTTTCCAGAGGACTGGGGTTCAGTTATCAGCACCTACATGGTGGCTCACAATCAATGACTCTAGTTCCAAGGGATTCAATGCATTTTTCTGACCTCTGCAGCCACCAAGAACACATATAGAGCACATATACACATGCAGGCAAAACATTCATATACATTATAAAGACATTCTTATTATGTTATAAATGAATTGAGAAATGAATAGTGAAACTAATGTTAGCACTGTATTTAATGAATGAATGTATTTGTATCTCTGGCAGAGTCCCATACACAGCTCATTAATCCTTCTGCTTCAGTCTCTAAGTGCTAGAATTACAAGCATGTGCCACTATACCCAGTAGTATGTACATTATAATAAAATTATCATAAACATGAAAATTGAAAACATTTTATTTTGTTAAAAATTTACCAAGAAACTGAGCAGCACAGCTACTTATCATATAATTTATGATTAGGAATATCTACTCTGACATTGGTAAATGTTACAAACTTTTCTGAATCTAAATGAGTTTTTAGCATTTTATTCTTTACACTTTGTCATATAATACTTCTGGCAGTTTCTTTAATAAAGAGTGTGTTGCAGTTATCACTTGCTCTTCCTTTCTGTCACAGCCCCTTCACTGTGATGGTAACTCTACTACCACCTCTGGCTTTGCACCCAGTCTCTAGACTGGTGACTGCTTACGTTCCCATAGTCAAGCTACTCTATAGCTCCATTTATTATGTCCAATTTCAAATAAGAGCTGCTATTTGTTTGGTGGCACTTTCATCTTTGCTAAGTTACTTCTTCAGTTAATACACTATAGTCACTAACATTTACTATGTGTTGTTAGGGGTCTAGTGTTAACTAAACCAGGTAATATGCACATGTTCTGTACACACACGCACACACACCACACACACACTGTGTGTGTCCCATGTGATTAACAGTGAAGAAAACTTTCTTCTAGGAGAAAAAAGGAATGAAAAACAATTTCAAATGTATCTAATATTTTATTTTTCTATAGAGAATATGAAGTTAAGGCTGAGTATTGAGTTCTTGGTCATTCTATTTGTCCTTTTCTTTCTCCGTAAGAACTTCATAATTTAAATTATTCACTATTTAAAAATAAAACCAACAAAATATATGAACTTTAAAAAAATTTTTAATGATTTTTTTAAAATATGCATTAATGTTTTGTCTGCTTATTGTCTATGTCAAAGTGTCAGATCCCCTGGATTTGGAGTTACAGATAGTTGTGAGCTGCCATGTAGGTGCTAAGAATTGAACTTGGGTCCTCTGGAAAACCAGCCAGTACTCTTAACCACTGAGACATCTCTCTAGCGCCTTAAAAAATATTTTCATGGATAGGTATAAGGTTAGTAGAACAATTTCATTTACAAGTTGTTTAATAACTAGGTTTATAAGAAATGCATCTATAATTTTACAACCCCATGGAACTTTTGAGTTTTGCAATTAATAACTGCTTCTAAATTCTTACCTGAATATCAGTCAAGTGCAACATTGTCTTCTTATAAGAAAGAACATCAAAATCTGTAGCTTTCCAGATTGCATGATTAAAAAATTCACCTACTTTGATCTTTTTGGTAATGACAACGAGATAATTACCTGCAAAAACAAAAAAAACAAAAAAAAAAACCCAGCCAAATGTAAATATTAAAAAAGAAAGAAAGAAAGAAGTGGGGCTAGGGATTTAGACCAGTGATAGAGCCTATGCTCAGCATGTATGAGGCGGCCCTGGTTTGGAGTCCTAGTATATCTCAAAAACCAACAAACAGAAAACACAAATAGCCCTTATCTGTAAACTTAGAAGCCTGGCAAAATGAGACTGCATTGAGCTACTCAGATAAAAGGCCCATTTTTTTAAAAGCATTCTTAAAATTAATGAATATAAAGAGTAATATGTTATTTAGAAAAATTCCTATTAAAAGACCAAATTATTTCTCAAGAAAATAAAACCAAACCTTTTGATAACCAAAGAATTGAGCTTAGCTGATAGAGAGTAGAGACCAAAAAAAATTTTTTTTTCTAAGCTTGTGCCTTGAAACACCAGAGGTACAAGATCAGTGCAGGGTAGCCCTCTCTATACCATTCGTTTGTCTTTCTGATCACTCTCATGATGGACACATGTGCTGGACAGTACACCTAACCAGATACTGTGAATCTACAAATGACTAGTTAGAAATCAACACCATGACAGCATATGTACAATATACCAATCTTTACCCTGGTCAGACCCTAACCCCCTTCCCTGATCATTAAACATAGTTCCCTCCCTCACCCTTTCTTCTGTGAAACCGAGGACAGAAACTGGGATCTTACACATGATAGGTACACACTACCACCAACCTATATTCCCAGCTCTTGCTATATTAAGACCTGTTCGGTTCAATGTTCTACCTCCAACTGCCCTGCCTAGAGGTTTTCCTGTATATAAATCTTTCCTAGAAGCTGTAACACTGTTACAATATCTTATTACTTGTATACCTCTATCACACGACTGTGAATTGCAAGAAAATGTAACATTTAAAATCTTTTATAACTTGCATCTAGCACAGTGACTTAGGTAAAAATAAAACAAAGAACTTTTTAAAAGCTCAATAAAATGAAATTCAAATGAAAATTCACCTTCTTGCACATGTCTATAATCCCAGCACTTGGGAGGCAGAGGCAGGAGAGTGAGTTGGAGGCCAGCCTTGAACATAGAATGAGTTCAAAGCCAGCTATAAATATAGATTCCAATCACATGTCAAATAAACAAATAAATACCTTCTTAATAACTCAAACCAAGTATCACATGGTAACGTATGTTATTATATCAGTGTAAGGTTAAAGGTATAGAATACGTTGATAAATCAATGCATTAAAAAATTTTAAATGGGCTGGGCATGGTGGTATATGCTTTTAATCCCAGCACTTGGGAGGCAGAGAGGTAGGAGGATCTGTAAGCTCCAGATCAGCCTGATATATACAGCAACTTCCAGGATAGTCAGTACTATACAATGAAACCCTGTCTCAAACAAACAAACAAAAATTAAATGTTCTTAGAATTTATGAAAATTTAGGTGGTTTCAAATCTAGTTAGAATAAAATCAAACATGAAAATTTTCTTTTAAAAAGAATAATTCAGGATGGGCAGTGGTGGCTTATGCCTTTAATCCCAGCACTTGGAAGGCAGAGGAAGGTGGATCTCTGTGAGTTCGAGACCAGCCTGCTCTACAGAGTGAGTTCCAGGACAGTCAGGGCTACACAGAGAAAACTTGTCTCGGAAAAACCAAACTAAACCCCCACCCCCCAAAAAAAATTTCAGGGTGATAAATATAACTGATTAGAGAATATTATTTTTAGAAACTACACAAATACATGACCTAGGGATTTACCTACAAAATGACAGGAAGAACACGTTTCCTCATTATCTAATGTTATCAATTTAATTACCTTCTTTGCCCATCTTTGCTTATTTTCTCTTACCTGCCACCAGATGGATTGTGCCCAGTATCCCAAATATTGGTCTTGTAACAGCTGAAGGGGGGACATCTTTTTTGACTTAAAAAAGAAGAAAATAATAGAAAAGCTCACCAACAAAACAGAAATTTGAGTAACTTCAACTAAATTAATTTGCACAACTTATTCTAAAAAACTAGCATTTTCCATTAATATCAGACCTCCATTTCTGCAGAACATAAAATACAGGTGTCCATGTGATATTAAAAGATGGTTTAAGGCCGGGCGGTGGTGGCGCACGCCTTTAATCCCAGCACTCGGGAGGCAGAGCCAGGCGGATCTCTGTGAGTTCCAGGAGAGGCGCAAAGCTACACAGAGAAACCCTGTCTCGAAAAACCAAAAAAAAAAAAAAAAAAGATGGTTTAAGAAACAACACTCTTCAGCTTCCTCATCAGGGAAATTGCAGGTAATTTCTAATGCTGCCAGAAGACTAAATACTATCTATCCCTTTAAGAGTAAGTAGGAGTAAGGATCTGAGAAAAGAGTTCCATCTCACATACTACTAACAATATGAAACTAGAGCTGTCCATCCATGTTTGAGATTCAAAAGAAAGGAAGAAAAAGCATTCTTTTCCTACGTCTAGCAACAATGTACACTGGTAGGCAAGAAGGCAAATTACTACCCCTGATTTCTATCAATGATGTCCATTATCAATAAAATTGTACCTTAAAGAATACATTTCACAATTGCTGAACTTTCAGTCAATATGTTTCACAGAACTTACTTTGTAGTACTCTTGTTTAGAAATTAATGCCTCAAAAGCAGATGGGAGAATTCCAGATCAAACAAGCTTGTTTTGTTTGATTCAAATTCAAATACCACTATTCCATCTCCCACACAGTCACATGAAAACAGAACTCTGAGGAACTGACAGTAAAAGAAAGCAGTCACCCTCTAACACAAGGTTCTCCAAACTCATGTGGCTAGAAAAATTTATTTTATTAAGCTTTTTTTCCCCCAGCTTTCAACTTATTATCAACCTGAAACTCATTAGTGTAAATTCAAGTCCTGATCCTTAAAATCAGTCATAGTAGTAATTCTGTTATTCTAAATAATTCTAAATAAAATGCTAAAGAAAGGTCAAGATCCATTTATGTTGGTCTCTAATAAATCAATTGATTTAATAATAATATTCTGTAATTACCTAGTATGAAAACTAGAAATGAGCTAAATAGCAAGTTCAAGGGTAGCCTGGGCTACATAGCAAGATTGTATCCACAAATAAAGAAAGAGGAAAAAAAATATGTGTCTGAGCAAAGAACAGCTCAAGAGAACATTTTTTTCTGAATATACTGAGATTATTGACAAACTCAAATGTACTACTACTGGTAGAACAGTAAGATTTATGGACCAAAGCACAGTAGTAATAAAATTGTAGCAATTCTCAAAATATATGTTAGTTTTTCATGGAAGCAAAATAATCTATTTTCTATGGCCACAGTTTGCATTCTTAATGGTAAAGAGAAACTGGCTGAGAAACAGCTGGTAAGTTAGCCTCTCATTATCACTGACTTTGTATCCAAGTATTTTACTTGATTAAAGACTGTTGGTACAATCACCTTACATCACACCTATCTTGACCATTAATATTTCAGTCTACTAAAATGGAGCTGCAACCTCTACCTACATGTAAAGTCATTGTAGTCAAAAAATAAATGAGAATATACTTTACTATAACACTTACTTATTATAGCACTAGCTCATCACTAATGCATAAAGAAATAATAGTGTTGAATGATATAATACTTCTCTGACAGTATATTAATTAATAGTTAAAACCTTTCCTGGAACTCACTTGGTAGACCAGGCTGGCCTCGAACTCACAGAGATCCGCCTGGCTCTGCCTCTACCAAGTGAGTTCCAGGAAAGGCGCAAAGCTACACAGAGAAACCCTGTCTCGAAAAACCAAAAAAAAAATAAAAAAATAAAAAAAAATAGTTAAAACCAATCAGCTACCTTGAAGAGAAACCATCAAGCAAGAGACAGAATATGTTAATTATCAACCTAAAGCAGAACTTCAATGACATTTGTCAAAGAAAAATTGTCTAAGGTGCTTACAGAAATAACCAATTACTCATACAAATGGAAAGTTTAGTCATCTGTTTTTTATACTTTATTAATCTACTGAAAATATTTTTATATTTTACTTTACCTACTCAAATAATATTTACTAAATATCTACTCCGGCAATTCAAATCTTTTCTTTAAGATAGGGTCTCAGTACATAGCCCTGGCTGGCCTGGAACTTGTTATGTATTCATTCAGTTCAATTCAGGCTGACCTTGAATTCACAGAGATCTGCCTGCCTTGCCTCCCAAGTGCTAGGATTAAAAGAGTAAACCTTCAAAGATTTTCTTAAAAATAAGAAACATATTAACTGCCTGGAAGTGAACTAGAAATTTTAAATCTATGAAATATGACATTCTAATGAGTATCCTTGTACTAAACCAATGAAATATGAAATTCTAATGTGCTATTACTTGGTGTTTAACCAATGAAATTAAAAGTTCTAATGTGCTATTACCTGGTACATTACTTTGTCATCAAAATTATTTAACATTAATTTCTTCAGAACTCAAGATAGTTCCATACACACAACTGGAGAAAGAATATTTTTCACACCCAAGGGAAGCAAAAAATAAATTGAAATGATTAAAAAAAAAAGGCATTGCTTGAAATATTTACAACTTTTAGTCAGTGAAGTACATTTTCTTTTTTCATGTTTAAAGTACTCTCATAGTTATGAAACTTTTCAAAACAAAACAAAGCATCTGTGAAAGCCCCTTAAACTTAAAGCAGAAACCCCTTCTTCACATTCAACTGTCAGCTCTACAAATGAGTTTAGACATCGAAATCAAACCTATCAGAATGTAGATAGGGAAACACAGAAATAATTCTGGCCTAGACCTGGTGACACACACTATAATCTCAGCACTGAGGAGGTAAAGTCGGGAGGATCCAGAGTTCTGGGTCAGCCTAAGCTATGAAATGAGTTCTAAGACAGCCTGACTATGCAGCAAAACCCTTTCTCAAAAAATACCTACCCCCAAGTTAACTAAGGTAGCAAGAATTAAGTTTTCTAATAAGAAGGCACTCAAAGAGCCTCATAATGATACACCACTGACAGTTTTTTATTACTGCAATCTCAGTACTGAATTTTTCTGGGAATCTCTGAAACTAGCTATACATACCTGCAAGGGTGACCTCTGTGGACACTCGGTCAATGGTGAGTACATCATCTGCTCCATCATCACAAGCTTCCACATAAAATTTTTCAGGTGTAATATGCCTAAGAAGAAATTGACAGGCATAAAGAAGTCAAATAAAACCAGGACTTGGAAAATGATTACAACAGGGTTTTAATGCAGCATTAAGTCCCTACTTCTAAACAGATGGCACTGTTAAGTTCACTATCCTTATGAATTTACTGCAATTCTTTCCACTTGTGTACTGAATGCTGTTATTTTAATTTGCTATAAAGCCACCAAGTTGAATCATTTAAGAAAATAAAAATCTTCTCTAATGTATTACATTAAGCATCATGGAAAAGGCAATATAGCATAATAATGGCACAATGTATAGAGCCAGACGATGTGCTGTGGGACCATAGGCAAATAATTCATCTTTTTCTGTTCTTCACAATTCCCTTATAATAAGGGAATCACCACATGTACAGCATGAATAAGTAAGCCAGTTTTTGGTACTCAGTGCTTATTAAACACACAGTAAATAAGATGTTGTATTAAGGGCTGGGGATACAGTTCAGTGGATGAGCACTTGCCTTGTATATGAAAGGCCCCAAGTTTGATCCCCAGGACTAAATTTTACTTTATTTTATTTTTGCTTTTTTGAGACAGGGTTTCTGTGTAGCTTTGGAGCCTGTCCTGGAACTCGCTTTGTAGACGAGGCTGGCCTCGAACTCACAGAGATACACCTGCCTCTGCCTCCTGAGTGCTGGGATTAAAAGCGTGCACCACCACCACTCAGCTCAGGACTAAATTTTTTAAATACGTAACTAAAACAGATTAGCATTAGCTAAAAATATTAAATTGTTTAAAGTAAATTAAACATTTGCTTTATGTATACCTTCCTGAAAAAAATTCTCATTTCATAAGAAAAGACAATGAAATGAAATAAGAGGGACAAAAAATGGGAACCCACTTTGGTAAAAAACTTTGTAGCCCTAGTCTAACAAACAAAACAAAAATAGTTGATTCCTCAAGAGATCAACTGGATAGATCTGTCAAACAACTCAGCATAGTTAAGGACTAACTCAGGAAATGTGAAGAGCTGACAAACAAGAACATAAAAAGGTGGGCAAACAGTGCAGATGAAGCAGATCGTAACTTAAAGTGAGGCCACAGCCACTACAGGCAGAGTACCCACCCCACCCAGTCTTTCTTGTTGATTCACCAGACTTCAAAGTTTTGTGTGTGTGAGAGCAATCTCAGGCCTTCTCCTCTTCCCACTTAGCTTTTCTACTCCCATGACTCTGCCACACTTTGTCTATGAAAAATCTTACACAGCCATCACTGACATTAATTTCCTACTTACCTAGTAAGTTATCTAGTGTTACAGAGATGTGTCTTGTAGCAGAATATAAAGTATACTTATTGTTTCTGACTCTGAATCTTCTGAGCAATAGCCAATCCTTGATTATTCAAATATAACTAACATCCATTTATGGGTTATCAGTAACTAAACTGTTAATAGTAGACTAAGTTCCTCATTTTAAGGAGTATTCTAAGAGAATGAATATCAAGCAAAACACTGTACAACAAAGAATGTAAATCTGTTTCAAATGTCAATATTTAGTCATTTGTTCCCTTTTATCACCAGATCTACTTCACTGAATGGACACATCACCATTTCTTCATTCCCTTTTGATAGGTATTTGGGCTCATTTTTGGCTTTGGGGTTATTAGTAATGAAGGTGCCATAAATAATCTTGAACAAACATTCAGTCAATGTGCTCCTCCAATCTATGAGTAACTAACTACTCAGAGTACCATGGTCAGGACAGTACATGTGTGTTTAACTTGGGCTGAGGAAGGAGAAAAATGAAAGACTGTGTGCACAAGAAAACTTTCTGTGGTGGTGGATGTGTTCCATATCTTAACCCCAGCAGTGATGATATAAAAATCTCAACATTTACCAAACTGTGTATTTTAAATATATGCCACTGGCTACATGAACTAAATGTCAATATTTAATGAATATTTATAATAAAAAGAAATATAATAAAAAAGAAAACAAAGAAGTCCTAAAGCAAAACAAAAGACTTTGTGTAGAAAGTGTAGCTTTATTGAAGTAGGTGTGGCCTTATTGGAGGACAGGTGTCACTGTGGAGGTAGGCTTTGAGGTCTCTTTTGCTCAAGCTTCACTCACTGTGACAGACCACTTCCTGTTGCCTGCAAGATGTAGGACTCTCAGCTACTCCTCCAGCGCCATGTCTGCCTGTATGTTGCAATGTCCCACCATAATGATAATGAACTGAACCTCTGAACTGTAAGCAAGCCACCCCAACTAAATGTTTTTCTTATAAGAGTTGCTGTAGCCATGGTGTCTCTTCACAGCAATAGAAACCCTAACTGACTTCCAGGTTTTTTTTAATCGTTAGAAAGTATCTTAGTTATGGTTTCTATTGCTCTGATGAAATACCATGACCAAAAACAACTTGAAGAAAGAGTTTATTTCATCTTACAGCTTGTAGTCCATCATCCAGGGAAGGCAGGACAGGAACTCAAACAGGGCAGGAACCTGGAGGTAGAAGCTGATACAGAGGACATGCAGAGTGCTCTTTACTAGCTTGCCCAGGCTAGCTTGTTATAGCACCCAGGACCACCAACCTAGAGGTGGTGCACAACAGGCTGGGCCCTCCCACATCAATCACTAAGAAAATGCACTACAGGCTTGACTACAAGTCAAAGTTATGGAGGAATTTTCCAAGTTGAAGTTCCTCTTCCCAAATGACTCTAGCTTGTGTCACATTAACATAAAACTAGTCAGCACAAAGAATTACCTCTAACTAGTTCTAAGTCATTTCAAACATTGGTTTTCAGGATCCAGAGCAAGGTGGCAAATGCCTATGATCCTAGCACTTAGGGGCTAAGACAAGAATATCGTTACATTCAAGTCCAGCCTAAGCCACACAGTAAGATCCTGCTCACCTCCCCCAATTTCAGCCCACATCTGCAGAAGGCATTTTATGTATGCATAAGCCATATTCCTACTGTAACATTTACTGAGTAACATTTATTTAAAAATTATGGGCTAAGCATTACACCAGTCTGGGGACTAGAAGACAAGTAATAATATACATAACACAAAAAGAAATTTTAAGTAAAATTCAAGTCCGAAAACCAAACTTTATAAAGCTTTTTGAAAAAATCATTGTCTATAAACAAAGATGACATTTTGAAAAGCCTCATCATTTAGAGTCTATCCATACCACAATGTCTTTCAAGGTTTTAAGCACATGTGCTACAAAACAAACATCTTTTTCTGCATTCTCTGAGGCTTAAGCAAACTTAGGACTTAAAATGGCCATGTGAAATGCTTTCATGTGCTATCACTGAGCATTTTGTCCCACTTTGAGTGTCCTAATATACACCATGAAGTTTTTTGTTTGTTTGTTTTTGTTTTTGTTTTAAAAATAAGGTTCACACCAATTAACAAAGAAGCTTTCCTCGGGGCTGGAAAGATGGCTCAGAGGTTAAGAGCACTGATTGCTCTTCCGGAGGTCCCAAATTCTGTTCCCAGCAACCACATGGTAGCTCACAACGATCTATAATGAGATCTAGTGCCCTTTTCTGGTGTCCATACAAGCAGACAGAACATTTGTATACATAATAAATAAACAAATCTTTAAAAAAGAAGCTTTCCCCACCTGACTTTTAAGCAAGTACAGTGAGAAGATATGGCTTATTACCAATGCTGCTTTAGAAAACCAACAATGAATGATTTATTCCAGTCCAGTACTAGCAAAGCAAACATCTAGAATCAATCAATCAAAGCACCCTTATAGGCCCTATTTACATGGGAAATCAAAACTTACAAACTAGATCAATGGCATCTGTGCTGGCTAGTTTTATGTCAACTTGACACAAGCTAGGGTTATCTGAAAGAAGGGAACTTTAATTGAGAAAATGCCTCCATAAGATCTGGCTGTAAGGTATTTTAATTAGTGATTGATGGGGGAGGGCCCAGCCCATAACGGGTGGTACCATCCCTGGCCTAGTGGTCCTGGGTCGTAGGCAGACTTTTCTGTCCCACCAGCTGCTCCCCAAATAACTACACAGAGACTTAATATTAATTATAAATGCTTGGCCAATAGCTTAGGCGCATTTTTAGCTAGCTCTTATAACTTAACTCATCTCTATGTGTGATATTTTGTTTGTGTTTCTGACAAATAAAACTTGCCTGGAGATAACAGGGTGGAGTTAGCCACTAGTTAACCATAGAGGCCAGGCAGTGGTGGCACACATCTATAATCCCAGTGCTTGGGAAGCTAAGACCTTTAATCTTAGCACTGGGGAGGTAGAGACAGGAATATAAGGCAGGTGGAGACAGAATCTCAGCCTCTTTTTGGTCGAGGATCCAGAGAGGTAAGAAGTCACTAGTGGCTGCTCCTTTGCTTCTCTGATCTTTTAGGTTATTACCCTGATATTTGACTCCTGATTTTTATTGATAAGACTAATTAATTAGGATCATGCTTCATCCCTATTAATATATGTGCTGCTTCGAGGCTTGTTTACCTCATATATGTACATCTTATCTTGCTCGTGTCTCCTCCAACGCTGCCCTTCTTCTCCCCAGAATTCTCTCTGCCCGGAAAATCCTGCCTAGCCATCAGCCAATCAGCTTTTTATTAACAATGAGAGCAACACATCTTCATAGTGTACAGAAGGATTATTCTACAGCACTGGGTTCTATAAGAAAGCAGTCTGAGCAAGTCAGTAAGCAGCACCTTCTCTCCATGGCCTCTGCATCAGTCCTGCCTCTAGGTTCCTATCCTCTTGAGTTCCTGCCCTCACTGTTTTTGAAGATGAACTGTTATATGGAACTATGAGTGAAATAAACTCTTTCCTCCCCAGTTGCTTTTGGTCATGGTATTTCATCATCACGATAACAACCTTATAACTAAGACAGTATCTAATAAAAACACTACTTCAACAAAGTCTTAAGAATATTACTTTAGAAGTAGTCACCCTAAAAAGGCTTAGAGATGAGCAACAAAAAAATACAGATGTTCTTATCTTGACTATGCTAGTTACAAGCTCCATAATG